CTTTCAAATGTTTTCCTGTATGTGGTGGTATTTTCCTTTGGTTTTATACTCCACATGTGAGATATGCCATGTAGCTTAGGGTGGGTATTTGAGACCTTCTTTTCTATTCCAATCATCTGTTCTTGAACCATTATCAATAAATAATTATTATAGCTTAATTATACAATTAAAATCAAGGAATAAAAATCATTCCTTGTTATTGGTGCAGCCATTATGGAAATCAGTATGGAGGTATCTCAAAAAACTGAAAATGGAACTACTGTATGACCCAGCAATTCCACTCTTGGGTATCTATCCAGAGAAACCCAAGACGCTAATTCGAAAAAGTATATGTACCCCTATGTTTATTGCGGCGCTATTCACAATAGCCAAGACTTGGAAACAACCAAAATGCCCATCGGTAGACGACTGGATTAAGAAATTGTGGTACATTTATACAATGGAGTATTACTCCGCCATAAAGAAGAATGAAATCGTAACATTTGGGACGATATGGATGAACTTAGAGACTATTATGTTAAGTGAAATAAGTCAGTCGGAGAAAGACAAATACCATATGATTTCACTTATATGTGACCTCTAAAAAACTGAATGGGTGAGGAAAGTGAACAGAGGTGGTCTCAGAGATGTGGGGGTGCTGTTGATGGCGGTTGGTTGGGGGGGTGGGGATGAGGGAGAGAGGGAGGGGGCTGGATAGCATAAATACGCAGCTGCAGTGTTGCCATGGGGACATGGGGGACAGTTCGAGGAATGTAATTGATAATGTTGTGAATATTTTGTAGGGTGTCAGGTGGTCACATGTCTTGCATGGATGGGGAAGAGGCTTGATCACTGCACTGTACACCTGAAGCTGATATTGTATAATATTGTATGTCAACTATAATTGAATGTGTGTGTGTGTGTGTGTGTGTGTGTGTGTGTGTGTGTGTGTGTGTGTGTGTATATATATGTGTATATATATAGTCATGGGACGTGGAGTATAGTGTGGGAGTGGAGTCAAGGGATTTGTAATAGATATGTATGATATTGGGGGGAAATGGGGTGGCGGATTGGGGGAGGGGGGTTGTCACTTCAAGGGGTAAAAAGTATAACTATTGCACTGTGTTGTACAGCTGAAACTAATTCTAAAAAATGTGTATTTCATAATAAAAAATAATTTTTAAAAAAATCATTCCTTGTTAAGTTTTCAAAATGTCCTTGGTTCATTTATAAAAAAAAAACAAAAAATATAGAAAAAAACCTTAAATGCCTATCAATAGGAAACTAGTTAGATAACTATGTCTGAATGATATAACAAAAGAAATGAGTCAACACTTTTTTGTAAGGTTTTAGAAAGTACATTCCAAGGGGTTTATTTTGTTGTTGCTATTGCTCCTGTAAATGTGATTTACTTTCTCTTTATGTTTTCTAACTGACTTTTGTTGATACATACATAAAACAAACACACACACCACACTTAGAAAGCTACTAGATTTTATTCATTTATCTTGTAAGTTAAATTTTTATTTACCTAACACACATTTTATAATTGATTTACTTGGATTTTTTACATAGATAGTAACATCCTCCATAGACACTGACCAACTTTATCTCACTCTTAATGTTAAGACCTTTCCTTTCCCTGCCTTACTGATTTGTCTAGAGCTTTCAAAACTATATTAATAATGGTTGAGAGAAGCATCATTTAACATTTCATTATGTGTGATGTTGGCTATTGATCCGAATTAGATAATACTCAGCTTGTGTGGAAATATTCCTAGATTCCTAAAGAAATTTTACCTGGAAATAATATGTAATGATTTTTATTAAATCTCTTCATGGCATTTACTGAGATTATCATTGATAATCATTAGTTTTCTTCCTTTGACCTATTGATAAATTTTATTAATTAAAATCTTATTATTACAATGAACTTACTTTCTTAAAAATAATCCTTACTTTGTCAAGGTGTCCTATACATGTAAAAGCTGTTCAATTCAATTTGCTATTATTTTAGAATTTTTATGTTTATTTTCATGAATGACAATGATCTGTAGGTTGTTTCAGGTTATTCTACCAGGCTTTTATTTCTGCATCAGGCTGGCTTTTAAACTTTCCTTTTTTTTTTTTTTATTCTATGCTCTGGAAAATAAAGCATAGGAAAATTTCTTTAAAGTTGAAAGAATTTATCTTTAAAGTCATCAGCGTTTGGTGTCTTCATTGACAATAACTTAACTGAATATTCAACTGCAGATTTTCTACTATTTATATTTAGTTACTCATATTTTCCTAAAATGTTATCTATTTCAATCATATTTTCAAATGTATTAACAGGAACTATCTTTAGCATCCACTTAGACTGGTTGAACCTCTTCTATTTAATTTGCCAAGAACTTAGAAGTATATAAAAATCACCCATTAACACTGTGTTTCTATCAATTTCTCTTTATTATTCAAATCATTATAGCTTTATCTACCTTTGCTCTAGTATTTGGCACATTTGCTATTATCTACCTTGTATAAAGTAATCTTTGCTGTCTTGTTTTAAACATTTTGCTCTGTATTTATATTTTGTATGGTAGTAATACTGTCTTTCTCACCTCTTCCTAGCTGATAAAAACAGATACACATTTGCAGATCTGTTTATTTTCAAGTTTTCCATCTTGCTGCTTTAAGAGTCTCCAGTATATGTCAGCTACTTATATTTTGTTTTTTTAACTCAATCCGAAAGTCTTTCTTTTCAATAGGGGTATTTTATCCATTTAGATATCTTTTTACTGAAACCAATTTGCTGGGTCTTGCTTTGTATTTAGCACTCTGAAATTCTGTGTATTTTAAAATTTCCTTGCTTTTCTATAGCAGTGATGAATGGACCCTTTCAAGAATTTTTCCAAGAAAAATTTTTATCAATAGTTTTATATAGAATGTTGAAGTGTTCATAGTCTCTGAAGTCTATCCATGGATTCCTATGGATAGGAATTTAAGTCTAAGGATCTGTTTAGTACTACGTAATGAACAATTTGTAATGTTTAATACAATTACTCTGCTACCATGTCTTTCTGCATTCTTGCCATCTTAATTGATCACTGGCCTGACTGGAATATTTCATGTAATTACTTCAGGAAGGGTACCTAAATAATATACTTCCATACCCTTATACAACTAGAACACGCCACCTTCATATATGGAGAGCAACTAATAAAGGTTCAGAAATCTTGAGTCAAAACTCTTCCTTCAAGCTTTGTAGATGCTAACTATCTTTTGGCATTTAATAGTCAAGAAAATAAGTCTTAAGGCCAGCTCAACTCATTCATCAACACATGTTAACTGCATAGTACTTATAGCTCATGCAATCTAATGGATGCTGAGGATAAAATGAAGAAGAAAAAAAACAGCCTATCTTCATGGAAGTAGCTGAAGAAGGTAAAAAAGTAATGAAAATGTTGATAAATGTAATGAAGCCTGATATATGATAAAATAACAAAACAGCAAAACGGTGTTTCCCTTGAGTGTATGTAGCTGCTATCAGAACCCTCCTCTTACATCTTAATCATGAAGGCTTGTCAGTCAGTATAAATCTCCACTTCTAGTTCCGTGACCTATCAGTCTGAGATGAGTCAGAAAAGGAGGCCTCAGAAAAACATCATCTCTCATTTTTTTCCCATGTTTGGTGAATTCACTACACTAGAAGTCAGCTTTCTCTATCCATGTGATTATTCTAGACACTGTTTAAGGAACACTATGAGGTATATCATATATTTCCCCCAGTATCACTACCTGCTATATCATAGAAAAGTTTCACCAGCTTTCTACCAGTTAGAACCACTACATAAACCCCCATAATCCTACAATGAGATACAGGAGAGTAAGGGATCCAATTGCTCCTTGACTGTCCCTCTAAATTAGGTGCTATGGGTATCTCAACTTGAAGCTGGAGATACTGCATTTCCTATTAGGGTGAGTAGAGAGTTGATACACTTCTTTAATCTATGAGTATTCATATCTCTATTATGTTTGTTGCATATTCTATGTTTGTTTCATGAGAATGCTCCTTTTACCTAGTTTTCAGATTCAGTACAGATTTTCCCCTATTTTTAAAGTCTTTTGGTATTTTAAATGGAATAGGAAGAAGAAATAAAATCACTGTTTTTACTTAGCTATCTTACTCAAGTTCCAGGCTTTGTCTTAGGCTTTTAAACCTTTTAAAGGAAGTTTCTGAATATTCAATTTTGATATTTTGTGTAGACAAAACTTATACTTTAATAATTAACTATTTTAAAATAAAATCATAAAAGTATACTCTATGATATTACCACTGATAAATCTGTATCAAGGATAATAAAACTAACGATAATACTTGAAAAATCACTTATTTCAAATAATTGCTTTTAAATATAAATAAAGGAACTTCAATTGTTTTTTCAAAAAACTTATCAACTGATAAAAAAATAGAAATTCTATTAATAGCCTGGACTGCTTTTTCTTTTCCATTTTGTTAGATCTTATCAAAAACATTCTACTTTTTCCCCACATTAAGAAGTTTAAACTCTTACTTCTTTTACTATGTATGTACCTACAGTATTATACAGAAAATGGCAAACAGCAAACTTCTGATAATTTTATGTTAAGCATAAACCATAACATTTTTGGTAATTAGGTATTTTTAACTTTTAAAAAATGAAGTTAATGAAACACCTACAAATGTAAGCCCAAATATAATTACCTAAACACTTAATTTTTATATTATACTTGGAAATTTTATATAAATGTCAAAGGACGTTCCTATGTGATGCTAAAAATTTTCACAGTTCACATTTACATATACGTAACATCCCACACCACTTCCCTTAATTACTAGACCTCAATTTCTTGTATTTAAAGAAATATTTATTAACTAAAATACAATGTGAAAGTTTATTATGTTAATGCCTTCTTTTGATGAGAAGTTGGACACAAAAGAAAAGTTAACTGTCACCCAATTCTAAGAACCACTGAAAGCTGGCAGTAGCATGTGGTCCTACCTTCAGGGGGTAAGCTGTAGAGTTGAGCCACAGGTCCAGTCACAGGAATAACTGGCAACTGGAAATGGAAAGAACTTTTAATCGTTGGGAGTGGCAGGCGGTTTTTAGGGAAACACTTCCTCATTATCAGACTGGAGGTGTTGACAAGAGGATCAAGGGTCCTGACAGCCAAACATTCCTGTTTTTTAAGAAAAGAAAAATAAATAAATAATGTGCCTTTGCTGAATAATTGAACCAATTTTATATTACTTCATAATACATTAATACATTAATAAAGTAATACATTAATACATTAATAAAGTAATACATTAATAATTTCCAAGAGACAAGTATCACAAAAAATAGTACTTTAATATAATTATAAAATAGTTTTGATTATTCAGAAGTTTCTCTTTTTAAGATCTTCATGTGGCAAATTATTAGTACTATTTCTTAAATATTTTCATTAATCAGAAATCAGTACAATCTTTAGTAGCAAAAGTCATCAAAGTACTAACTAAGATCTATGAATGACTTGGGGGCATTTAGCAAGCCTAACACACAAAATTTAAGAGAAGAAAAAAATTTAAGTAAGGAAGGTATAAGAAATAAAAAGGAATGTACATTTGGTTGACCCTTTCTCAGAATTTTATCTGTTATCATGCAATAATTACACCTCTAATTAGTTGGCTGTTCAACTTATAAAGAATAGCCTGAATATCACAGTTGTAAGTTTTAAGAGTCTAATTTGCTGTCCTTGTACCTAATCTTAAGAGAGGCTAATTTGTAAGGGTTTGAAACTATATCATATAACACTATTATTACTATTATTATTATTATTGACAATTGACATTTAGACGGCACTTTAATACCCTGTAAAATTTTTAATATAAATCTTCACATCTGACCTGTCAAAACATGAGAAATTGAAGCTTAGAAATGTTGTGGTATAACCAAAGTCACCCCACTCTTCCTCATATATCAAATGTCCACCACTGCCTATATTAGGAATAGTAAAAACAAATGTATATGATTGATCTAGGGAAAAAAGCTAAGGGTAAACATAAAATGTGTGTTTCTGTATCTTTGCACTCGTGTAGAAAGGGACCGTATGTTATAGGCAAGACCAAGAGGGCACATCTGAGATAACTGGCTGGAATTTTCAAGAAGACAGCTTTCTTTCTAATAATTATAGTCTTCTAAAAACAAAGGGTTGCATTGCAACAACCCTATTCCCCAGAGCTGACAGTCTTCTACAGATGCTAGAACAAACCTTGCTAAAGATACTGTCAAGAATGTTTATGCTTGCGATGGCTGGCAGAAGAAGAATCCCTAACTAACTTCAGGTTTCAACTTTCATACCTTCTGTTTAAAAATGCTCCATGCAAAAGGAAGACACTGAGAACACTCATAAACAGAGCTACCTTACCAATTGCAAAGGGTCCATAAATACCTTATGAGGGGAACATGTGCAACTAAAGTACATACAGCACATCCTAGAAAATATGACTATATGGAATCCCTTCCTGCCCAGTGGATGGATTTATCTTCCTTTTACCTATGGGGAAAAAAATCTCACACTGCAGAAATATATACGCACGCAGCACTTTCTCCACTCATTTTGCAGTCACATGTGAGAAATAATTATGTCTTTTGGTTTTCAATTTTTTAAAATATATTTTTAAATATATTTTGAGTATTTTTAGAAATATTAAGTTTTCCTAAGAACCAAATCATATTATTAATACATAATCACAATAACAGGAAGAAAATAAAGAACTCACTTGCGAAGTGTTATAGAGAATTTTCATTCCATTGGCATCAATGAATGCTTTTCTTCCCAACTTGATGTTGGTAACACTTTTTAAACTCTGTAAAATTCCTTTCCGAATGAGCATGTTTCTATGCCGATTATCATGGCGGTGCCAATCTACATAAATTGTTAAAAGAACTTGGACATATCCTCTGTCTACAGCTCTCCTGGCATTTGTTTCTTTAACAAAAGAAAATTGAGAAAGAATATTTTTTAAATGACAGGAAAAAGTGGTAGAATAGATCAAATTAAAATTTTAGCCACAACACTGTAATGAATTATTATTCTTTGTTTCCAAAAATATATAACAACCACATAGTTAAATATTTTTTCTGACAAAATAAATATAAGCTCCAGATGGCAAATTATAATATTTTCCAGAAACCTGCCCATACATTGTTTTGTGGTTAATAAACAACAAAATTATGTTTAATGAAATTAGGGCTACATATTTTTAAATGTTAATACTAAAAGAAGTTTCATGTATTTTAAAACTTATAAATATACTGACTTTGATTACACCAAATGAAATATATAACCCCTTAATTTACTAGCTGTGAATATGATTTTGTTAAACGTCAATAACATTATTGTAACTTGTTACAAACTGTTTCCATTGAAAATAATTGCTTTAATTACCCCCACAATTATGTGACTATTCATGCACAACAATGCTACATTGAAAATACTTGTATAACTTTTTAATAAATAAAATGTAAGGAACATTATGTAATTAGAAGATGGTACTTTCTGGTCATTAATATTTTAATGTAATGAAAACTACACTAAAGGTTCTTTTTGTAAATGGTCAGTTATTTATTGGGATAGAATTAACTGAAATAAATCTGCAAATCTGACGTATTTTATTATTTTTTAAATGTTAATAGTTAAGATTATTAACCAAACGGATACATTTGGTTAATGTAACTAAGATGGCAGCAAGGGAATCATATCACAGCAACATCCTGAGCCACCCAGCACCACATGGGGTGGGCCAATTAAGATAAAGTAGAATGTCAATCCATCTGAGGTTGTTCAGTTACAAGGGAGTATCTCTTCCTAATCAAAGCTTACCTATAAAATGATCCCTACCTCATGGCATGGACACTAAGATAACGCAACAGAACAGCTCCGTTGCTTTTAGTTGCCTTAAAGAATTACTACAGTTTCCAAATGTGCTCATACCTAAAACATGAAGACATTGAAATCAACAACCTTATTAATTCCTCTCAGAAATTATGTTCTGACATTAGAGAGTTTGAAGAGCCTCTCAGGGTGGGGAAGGGGTGTGGAGTTCTTATGTGAAAGCTTTAAAACTTCTGTGTCTAGGAGAGCTACTTTTACTAAGGCTATGGCTATTTATAACAACAGTTCAATAGCTTTGACTAACAATAGTTTCATGTATTTTAAATGAATATACACACTTGGTTCACACCAGCTGGAATATATAAACCTTTAGCTTACTAGCTGTAAATATGAGTTTCTTAAAACTTATGATCATTGTAACTCCTGTTACAAACTATGTTTCCACTGGAATTCTCAATAGCCTAAGTGGTATTCAGGAAACTTTTTAAATTCTTTATTAAAGATCAAAAGAAAAAAAAAAGATCAAATAAAAACTTGCTGGTAACTCAAATACAGGTGCTGAATTACCCTTAAGAAAAGTGAACAGAGCTATATGCAATCTGCAACTGGGCACAACTAAAACAGTTCTGTCTAGGGCCAGCTGAGTGGCTCAGTTGGCTAAAAGCTCGCTCAAGAGTGCGAGCTCTGAGCAACAGGGTTGCCGGTTCGATTCCCGGCCCGAGTTGAGCTGCCAACAGGTGGCAGGATGGATCAGCTAAAATAAAATAAAATTAAAATTAAATAAAAAAAATAGTTTAGTCGGGGGTTTTATTCCTGTGTTCAGGACACCTAACTCACAATCAGCCTATGTCTCTTCTTCCCTGTCTAGTTAAAATACAACCTAGGTTTCCCTTTACACTGCAGATCTAATCTATATTCCAGCAATGGCAGCTAAGCTGCCTGCCTTCCTGTACTGTGTGTATACATTCTTTGCTTTACACTCTCTCAGGTTTATTACAGTAGTTTTATTATCCTTTTAAAGTAAATTACTGTCCCCACCCAAAAAAAAAAATCAATGAATGAGAATGCTCCAAAATGCTATAGTGCATTTAAAAATATGCAGTGTGCCACTTAATATTATTTTGCATCATTAAATATTTATCCTATTTAGTGCCATGTGCCATATGAAAACAATACTAAATATAAACAAGAGTCATTCTACTTGTCAGTTACTTTTTCACCAGATGGAATAAAAAGATACGTTTGCCCACCATCTTCCTTTGAAGGAGAAGAAGGGAGGGAGTAAAAGAAAGATTACTATTTAAAACTGAAGACGGCAGATCTCAGTCATCTTAGGACAACTGATTTCTACAAAATAGTTGAAACTTAAGTGGGTTTTAGTTTTTACTGGCTTAAAATTAACGACTTTGTTATCAGTGATTCTGAAAATTAGATAGCTCTAATAAAAGTTGAGTTTGAACAACTATTTAATCTACTCCAAATCAAAAACATATGCCCATATTAATTTAAAATTAATCTTTAAACAATTTGAACCACAAAGAGCATAGCAAAGCAGTGCTACAAATATCTTTTGAAGTTAACCCAAGTACTCTGATCTTGGTCTAAAGTTTATCACATCATATATAAAAACAAAACTACATGGCTAATCTGAGTACCACACATTTCATTTCAAAGATCAAACTGATTGCTGAATTTTATATACTCTGGTATATAATACTAATATACCAGGTGATTCTTAAATTTAGTAAATCATTATTTTACCAAATATAAGATATACCAATTAGTCATTTGCTACTATTCAAATAAACAATTCTGGTCATTCAAACTTAAGAGCAAGTTGGTCTCATCCTTGATAATTTGTGGCGAAAATAACATTGAAAGCCATCAATACAGATCTTTAGGACTAAATGTGGTTAAATAAGATGTTAATCAAATAATCAAACAGTGGAAGTGGGGGTGCTAATTACAATTGTTATTTAAAACAGAGATACTGAGTATCTCGAAGAGAAAAAAACACAATGTTGATACTCTTCAAACGCAATATATCATAATAAGACATATTTACTCTATGCTTCAAGTCTGAAGATAAATAGTGCTTTAGTCAGTAAATTTAGTAAACTATCAATTTACATTAGATGCCATTATAATGTTATAAATTTGAATTTATGGTAGAAATAAAATTTCTAATAAAAGGGCTCTAAATTAATCATGTGTTATGTAGAGAAACATAGTCTTCACAGCAAACATTCTCAATACAATGTTAGCATCACATTTTTAAAAAGTATACTTAAATAATATTTACATATTACTTTCCTCAACAGGGCTTTATGTTTACAGTAACAACTTAGAAAAACAAAGTCAACATACTTGAATAAATTATAGCTCAATAAGCATAAACGACATTAGTAATGACATCAATCAACTGTACTAGAAGATAAAATCAACTATGACATTAAATTATTACAAACCAGCTTTATAACTGTAGACTAAATCTACATTTCCAGTTTAACACTATAAACACTCAAAATTAGTAATCTAGTATTTCTAGTATTTAAAAACTTACTTGATTTTAGCAATGCAGCAAGAGTGTCTAAAGCAACCCTGTCAACATGAGAAAACACAAACAACAACAAAACTAGTAAAATTAATCTACAATAGTAAATTCATACAATCTTTTCAGATAAGTAATTATCTATTCCAAAAGTCATTCTTGTCATAGTCAATTACATATGGTGTTTCTCTATATGCATCTGTCCTTTCAGGTTAAATTCAAATATGAGGAAGACTGAAATATCAACAGAAAAGCATCAAAAAAAATTTTAAGGAAGAAAGTTAACAATATCTAAGTCTTTATATCAAAGGAATAAAATCAATTATTGTAATTGTACCTGACCCTGACAGAGTTCACATAGGAACACTGAGAATCACAGACGCTGACTCACAAAGAAATTAAAACAAAACCAAGTTTTAACACAAATTAAGTTCATAACTACAAAATCCTATAGATATTTGTAGCTATCTGACTATTTTAGATAGCTATTTAGATAGCTATCTAAGTATTTTAGCTCTATCAAGTAGTGATCCTAATATTTGAGGTGATAATAAATGTAAAATATTTTGCAACTTGGAGGTTTGGGGAGAAGAAGTAGGAGCCCTTCACATTTTTCAGTTGTAAGCCACCAATGAGAATAATGAACCTAATTAATATCTCAAAAACTCTTACTGCCCATTAGAGGTCAAAAGAATAGCCTAAAAAATTGAAGTTACTTATATTTTCTTTGAACATATTACACACACTGAAATCAACTGCTATTGATCACCTTTAAAAACATATAACATCACTATGGAAAACCTGTAATTCAGTTAATTTTTTAAAAACAGAGTTACTGAAGAAATGGCACTTACTTTCAGTACTTCAAAAACGTAAGGCTACATATTATAGTACCTCTTAGTAAGATTGCAACGATAATTAATTTGCATAAAAATATGTATATTGTCAAACTTAAGCATTTCACTCATCATTAAGCATTTGTTGAATGCCTACTAGATACCCACAGTAGCAGGTTCTTCATGGGTATAAAAGTAGAAAACAAATTTTTCCACAGATAATTTTACAACCTAGATAATGCAATAAAATATACACATCTGTGAAAAAAAAACACTCAAAAAATCCAAATCAAATACAAAGTAAAAGCTGCACATATTAGTGGTAAAGGAGACACAGTATTACCAGATGTAGGCAAGGTAAAGGACATAATTGATTAGAAGATTTAAGATAGATATTGGTTCATTGTTAAACCTGAAACAATAATCCAGGACGAGGCACTGAGCATGTGCTCATTTATAATAAATGCTCATTGTTGCTACCCTCCAGAGCAGCGATTCTCAACCTGTGGGTCACGACCCCTTTGGGGGTCGAACAACCCTTTCACAGGGGTTGCCTAAGACCATCGGAAAACAAAAAGATATTTACATTACGATTCATAACAGTAGCAAAATTACAGTTATAGAGTAGCAACAAAAATAATTTTATGGTTGGGGGTCACCACAACATGAGGAACTGTATTAAGTGGTCGCGGCATTAGAAGGTTGAAAACCGCTGCTCTAGAGCAAGTTGTTAACAATTATACTTTGGTTTTTTGACAAATAAAGCAATCCTATAAACCATTATTTATGATAACATTTGTAAATTAACAAAAGTGTATGCTTTAAAAAAATATTATAAATTGATGCCTGTAAACGCTTTCAAAACAATGTGAAGTTATGGTAATGGTAAGTTAAAAGTGAATAAAAATTATAAAATTATACACTAAGTTTCCATAACACTTAATGATCAGTAAGAAACATTCCATAATTATAACTGTGCAATAAAATGTACATAAAATTATATATATGGCTTTTAAATTGATCAAAATTAAACAAAGGACTAAATGGGTCTTTCAAGCAAAACGGCAAATTATGAAAAAGACTTGTTCAGCAAGACCTGATAAATGCCAGAAATTGTTATAGGTGCCTCCAAAATGTGTTTTCCAGTTTAATTCTTACAATCCTGGTCCAGAGAATTGGTACATTTTATGAATAAGAGAACTAACAATTTGAGATAATGACTAAGTGACACTGCAACTGAATTTTTCTGTTGAGAAAGAAAATCATGAAAACAGAAATGTCAGTCTCCTCCAAAAAGACATGTTGAATTCCTAACCCCAGTGCCTCAGATGTGACCTTATTTGGAAATAGTGTTGTTGCAGATGTAATTAGTTAAGATGAGGTCATGCTAGAGTAAGTGGCCCTCAATCCATCATGACTGGCACCCTTATAAGAAGAGGAAAGACTATTTAAAGACAGACACATGGGGAGAGAACACCATGTGATGATGGAGCCGAAGACTGAACTGTTGTAGCTACAAGCCCAGGAACACGGAAGATTGCCAGTGGCAATCCACCAAAAGCTGGGAGAAACAAGGAAGGACTCTCCCGTGCACTCTCCCAATGCTTAGACGGAGCACTAGCCCAACTGACAAGCTGATTTTGGACTTCAAGCCTCCAGAACTCTGAGACAATGAATTTCTGTTATTTTTAAACCACCAAACTTATACTTAAAAAGGCACTTTGTCTCAACAGCCTTAGGAAATTAATACAATCACTTAGATGCAATCACTTGCAATGGACTCACAAGATTTTCCCATCTACAGCTAAGTCTTCATTCATAATTATAAAAATTTAGAGTAGTACTTTCAGAAACAGTCTTTCTCCCTGCTGGCAGCTGTTTCTAACACATTTAAACCAAATCAAAGTGCTTCTGACTATTTTTAATCCTTGATGTTTATTCTTCATCATTGGCAAAATTGGGATATGAGCCCAGTTCTTTCTGATTCCAAAGACCACTAGATTAAAAAAAATTATGAAGTTTGGTGCAAAGTTGTCTTGATACTTTTACAAAAATGTTACTCAAATGGTATTTTTAAAAAGTTCAGTACAAAGAAATTTCTGAAATTCTACAACACTTTTGAGCCAGTATGAATTTATAATATGTTACAAGTGAATTTTATAATAGATTTTCTGAAATGCATAGTTTGCATTACATTAATTGATTAGAAAATCTCAGTACCAATATTTTATACTTCCTCATATATTTTTCCAATCTTAGTATGTCACACACAGAATAATACAACCAGCAATGGCTTAGAAAGCAGCCTGTGGCTTCTTCATTTAGGAGCAGTGAAGGAGGAAAAGTGTAAGCCCCAGATATTTATGAAGTTACATCTACTTTAAGTTGGGGGAGGGGGGTGTCAATCCTTATAGTAACCTTCAAACCCGTTGTAACTCAAGAAGACACAGTTACAATAACTTACAGAGTTGCTTCCTTCTGGATAAACACTGTTTAAATCCAAAACCTAAAATTGGCAAGGAAAGGAGATCCTAAAGGGAAGCATGACCCATCAAACATAAATAACATGCCTCAATCTTCTTCTAGTGAATTCAGGATTTAAGGAGAAGAACTATGATACAAATGCTCCAGGTGTCAAGATTTTTTATCAAGGGGGAGGACCTAAGAATATTAAAAATGATAAAGAGATCAAGATACAGATGTTTGATCAATAAATGCTTTGTTCTTTTTAAAGTAAAAATAAAGTTTAAAATTTTGTTTTTTCTTTTTAAACTATAAATAGAAAATAATAAAGGGATAATTCAGATAACAATATTCCTTTCTCAAAAGTTTAGACCCATTAATTTCTACATGGTTCTGGATATATTCCATGTTGTATATTATAAAGATACTTGTGAAATGTTCTGTTTCTCCTAGGTACATTTTATAGTAGATTTGGTAACTTGGCTACAATAGAGAATGTAGATCTTAAGTAGGAGATCAGAACCATTAGATAAAAGATCAATCATAAGGTAATTTAAAGATCAAGGGAGGAAATGCTATATAATTTAAAAAATAAAGAATGTACTTTTAGTATTAACCAGGATTCATTCACATCCACATTACTTCATTACCTACCTAAACTAATTACATTGCATTAATATAGGAATTGTGCTAATTATAGGAAGTCATCTCATTAAATCCTCTCAACAACCTTATAAATATAGGCACTAACATTATTGCCATTTTACAGCCAGGAAGCTGGGGCATAATAAGTTATGAAACTTACTTCGTATCAATGAGCCAGTGACAGAGCTGACATGCAAATCCAGTTCTGCCTGCTTCAAAGCCCGTTCACTACACTACACCAATTCTGTAAGCTGGTTTCACTAATTGTGATAGAATCATTTTGTCTTGTTACATTTCATCAGATGCTCTAGGACTGTGTACAATCTTTGCACAAGTAAATGTGTTAAGTCGTCCCACCAAATAATATTTAACAAATAATTATATGTACAAGTAAGCTCCCACTTTCAAGAAGGGTACAAACGAAAATATTTGACCTGTATTAAGAAAGGGTTAAAACACTGAAAATTATCTAAACCTTATTTGTTTGTAAATTTCAACCAAATATTTGATGTGGACAAGTTCTTCCTTATATATAAAAATTAACAAAAAAAAATCACTGTTAATAAAAGTAGAAAAAAACAAGAAAATTAGAAAAGTCATGATTTTGCAGCCCCGAAAGAAAAAACGAATATAGGTAATGTCATGAAATATTGTTAATTTATTAGATATAAAGTAGATGGATCATATCAACTCAGTGATCTTAGGTGGTACAAAAACAGAGTACCTATGAAACACTTTTGATCAGTACACTTGAAACATATGTAATTTTACTAACCATTGTCACCCCAATAAATTTTAATTAAAAAAGAAATAGTTTTGACTAGAATAAAAAGAATCCAAATCTAATCAAGCCTCTAGCTCTATCAGTCTACAGAGAATTTGAGGGATATACCTACATGTTAAATGACCCCAAGATACAATTATCTTAATCCAGAATGTTGGGACAATTCTACAAGACAGTACCCAGGGTTTTTCAACAAATTAAAAAAAAAAAAAAGAACCAAAACAATAGGGGGACTGTTAATTGATTTTAAAAGATTACAAGATATAGAAATCAAATAGAATGTATAAACCTTATTTAGATCCTGATTTGAACAAGCCAATTGCAAAAAATATATTTCTTAGATAATCAGAAAATATTAGATGATATTAGGAATTATTAATATTGTTGGCAAACAACCGATATTGTGGTAACACAAAAAGAAAAAAGCTCTGTGTCTGATGGTGATCATACTAAAGAACTTACAGAACAAACACAGTGGCTAATATCTGCTTTAAAATACTCCAGAAAAAAAGAAAGGACAGGGAAGGGAAAGGAAATAAAAACATCAGAATGTTGATTATCACTGAAATTAAATGATAGATATATCAGGGTTCATTATTTAATTCTTCCTATTTTTGTGTAGGTTTGGAGTTTCCTAAACATAATGAGGAATAATGCATGTACCTTGTTTGGATCCTGACTCAAACAAACCAATTGTAAAAGTGCATTCTGAGACAACTAGAGAAAATTGAACACAGACTGGATTTTAGATTGTATTAAAGAATCAAAAATTTACTGAGTATGATTACAGTATCATAGTTATTTTTTAAGTCCCTATTTAGTAGAGTTATATACTGAAGTATTTAGGAGTAAAATCAGAAAATATCTGGGATTTGCTTACATATATGAACGACATCTAAGATTTGCTTAAAAATACCCCAACAAAAACAAACAAACAAACAAACAAAAAATACCCCAACAAAAATAAACAAAAGCATGAAAGGAAATAAATGAAAGAAAAATGACAGAATGTTTATCAACTGCTGAATATAATTAGTTAATATTAACTAAGTCAAGATAATTAATTAGTTTAATACAATATAAACTCTATGTATATTTGAAAAATTCCATAATAAAAGAACTTTTTAAAGAATGACCTCAAATCTGGCTTAAGAAAATACTAAATATAACCAAGAAACTTGAAACTGCTTTTATTTTCTGAGGTTGAAAGACCTATAAATGAAAAACAAACTAACAAAACACTATATAGTGTTTCCAAAATAAGAAAAATGAATGACAACATTTTAGCAAAAAAGAAATGCATAAATTTAAAATATGTGCAGATAATTATGAGAATGAAGGTAGACGTCGTTAAAAGACTACAAAATTGGTAGGGAATATAGTAGGCACTCAATAAATGTTTCTGAATGAATGATACTCTATAAATAATCTTTTTTCCTCTTATAGTATCTAGGAATGTTCAATGTCTAAAATTCCATAACACTATATTCAAAAAATTAAAGTTTTCTAATTTTGATATACCTTTGAAGATTAAACTTTATACTAAAGAAAATCTTTATCATAATAAAATCACTAAGAACTAAGAATGGACCCTAAATACAATTTAACCCAGGTGCTAACTGTACGGATCAAGAGGATGAGGCCCAGAATAATAAAGCATATACCTCTATTTATACTCAAAACATTTACTCACTTCATAAGCCCCGAATTCTTCTTACTAAATGGTCCAATGATTTTAAACATCAGTTCCACAACTCCATTTTTCCCTAAGGATACTGAATTCACAGCTGGGAGGGGGAGAAAAAGATATGAAATGACTTAAAAATCTCATTAAGTAGAAATGTATATAATTGTTGATACATAGCCAAAAATGTATACAAATTGTTTAGTGCATGGGAACTTAAGTCCCTCATAAAATCCACTTTAGATAATCACTTGAAAACTTGTTACTTTTTGCTTAATTTTTTTATGGGAAGTTGCAGGGCAATTCTGAAAGAAGATATATATATATATATATATATATATACAGAATGTTACTACAAAAAAATACTTTTAAGGGGGCCAGCCAGTGGCTCAGTTGGTTAAGAGCTCGCTCAAGAGTTTGAGCTCTGAGCAACAGCGGTTCGAGTCCAGCCCAAGCTGAGCTGCCAACAGGTAGCAGGATGGCTCAGCTAAAAAAACAAATAATAATACTTTTAAGTTGCTCTATTTGTTTCTTCAATAAATTTAGTGAACTCTACTAAATACCAGGTCATGGGGGTTCTGAGACAAAAACAAACAGTGCCTGCCCTGAGAAAACAGTATGGAAGAAAATGACAGAAACAGTAAACAAACCAATACTAACTAAATTCCTTTCCAAGTAGCTTAAGAGTTGTAAACTCTTGAGGTTACACCAGTGAGGAATCCCAAATCCATAGAGAAACAGGGGGATTTCTGGAGAAATTGATGCCTGGGCTCAGTCTTTACAAATGAGGAGGAGTTAGCTAGGATAGGAGTTGCAATAAGAGGCAAACGTGACTCTGGGACTATCTCTAGAGACAGAAACACGGATAATACAACAGAGTCAATGAACACCATGGGTATGAGCAGTTACGTGTTGTTCAACACAGTATCAGACTAAAGCATACCAATGGGAAGATGGGTATGGAAAAGAAGGTAAATTATGAAAAACTTTATAAGTTGTTAATTCATTCATCTATAGGAAATTGCCCAAAAGGAACAACAAATCAGATCTACATTTTAAATACAGGTCAGATCTCACAACACTCTGGGGAAGATGGAAAGAGACATTAGGAGGCTGTGGTCTGGGTGACAGGTAATGAGAAGTAAGTCAAGGAACTGTAGTAGGGGAAAAGGTAACAGCTTCAGTTTCACACCCAAGACTTGTACACTTACATAATTAGAAAACTGTTCAACTCTGAACAAACATTATTTTTAAAAGTATAACCATTTAATAGCTGTCTAGTGGTTAATTCAATAAAATGCCACCAAAAATGTAGCTCCTAAAGTGTTGTATGGTGATTTCAATTTCCTCTGTATCTATTTATTATTCCATTATTCCTTCTAAATTTCTGTCTGTGCTGCCTTCCTTTTTTCTTAATTGGGATACTCACTGGTTTATGTTTTATTTTTTAATCCAATTTTTTTATTTTGTTAGATCAGCTGGGGTTTTTTTTTCATTTTGTAAGGGTTTTTTTTTTCTTTACTATTTCATCCCTCTTCTTTCCTTATGTTTATTGCTCTGTTCCTAATTTGTTTGGAAATTCATTCATTTCCTTATGTTCTTTTTAATTATGTAAGTGTTAATTATTTAAGTATTCAAAGCTATTTTCCTCTGAGCACACTTTTAGCCATATTGACAAAGTATAGATACACACATACACACATATAAATTTATACACACACATATACATATATGTGCACATGCACACCTCTACCACTTTGATAATCATTATTTTGCAATCATTTTCTGCAGTAACATGTACTCTACAATTTCAATTTTGGGTGTTTTGTTAACCACCCCACTTCCATAGTCAGGGAATAGAAATAACATCCATACTTTATGGGGTTGGAACCTAATGAGAGAGAGAGAGAGACAGAGAGAGAGATAGACAGAGAGAGAGAGAGACTTTATCTGATGCTGTCTCTCAATGATCCCTCTTGTCTCCGGCTTCCTCACAGGCTCCTAAACTACTTATTTCCTGTTCTGCTACTTCACTGATGATGCTGAAGATAATTAGCTCCAGATGACTATGCTACCACATGCCTTCCTTCTCCACTTGCATCTCATTTGTGAAAATCCAAACAGGCACAGCAGTTTTTCTAGCTGGCAATACCCTCCTATTCTTCCACATCTTTCCCACCAGCTGCCTACTTCTCCTCTCACTACAGGCCTTTACACACTGCGGGAATTAATGAAAATTCTCAAGATTTTGTCAACTCACCTTCTTACCCCACATCATTTTTGTGGCGGTGGAGTTAGGAGTTATAAAGAGCCATATTAAGAATTCTCTTTCCTTGTCCACAAATTTTAAGACATTTATGGAGTTAGGGTATTTTTAAATTTTCATTTTCTGTAACTTCAAAACACTGAGTTAACTAAAAGCTACTCTGAAATACTCACAGTTTGCAGAATATACTCGTAAAAGCTGAAGACAGGGCAAAACCAAGCGATGATTCTGCAAATTCTGTTTGACCAAATTCAGTGTTATATTCAGAGTTCCATTAATTCTAGCTTTCACTCCAAATTTTTTGTCTGTTTAAAAAAAATAATAAACCATTTATTCATAGGCAACTTTGAATGAAATGAAGATATAAAGCAATGAGATTTTAAAAACCTGTATTATGAATTCATATTATCAAATATAAAGTTGACCTGAAATAACTAAAGTTATAATCAATTTCTTGTCTGATTCTAAAATACTTTGACCTTTGAAACATGGCTTGAAAAAAAGTACTAAGAGGCAGGCAGAGGATAGGGCAGGGGGATAGAGGTTAGGGTAGCCCGACACTTAGGCCATCATGAAAGGAAGACTTAAACTGATCCATTACACATGTAAGTCTATCCGGTTGCACATATTCAAAGGAATACCATCACATGGTTAAGGAAAACTGTAAAGAATCTACGTGTCCACTACCAATATTATTTACTTAATATTACCAGAATTCTTTTCAGACTTAAATGAATAAATGAACAGCTTATGTAGAAAATAATCTAGCAAACATTACCAAATAAATTTCTAAAGAGATCTAATTCTTTTTTTAAATTGTTTTTATTTTTCAATTGTGGTTAATATTCAATACTATATTAGTTTCAGGTGTACAGCGTAGTGATTAGACATTTATATAACTTACCAAGTTAAAGGAATCTAATTCTTAACATAGAAAAGGAAGAGAAGAAGGTCTTGATTTTTATCCTCACAAACATATTAAATATTAAAAACAATCTGGATAACAAGAATTTAACAATTCTTAACAAAAGAGTTTAAACAAAAAAAAGTAAGCAGGACCAGCAAGCAGAGTTATTTGATCAACAACAAGAATTTCAAGTCAAAAAGAATTAAATACTCCTGAGAGAAAATTATTCTCATCTCACAAAAAAAAAAAAGGATAGAAAAATCATTCAAGAAATGACGGCACAACGTCCTTGAATGACAAAAATGGAAAACTAGGACAAGTAATAAAGGAAATAGCACAAATTTAAAAGTATTAAAGAAAATAAATGAGCTACAACTTAAAAGGGACATTAAAAAAATACAAATATAAATTAAGTACATCAATGTCCTAATTTATTATAATTTCATGTAAAGCAGAAGAAAGATAATCTGGTTCTAAATAGAAGAGGAAGTATGATATAACAATATTCACCAATAAGTAAGATTTTTCTCATTTTATTTTTCATTTTCAGCAAAAATCTCACAGAGGAGCCCTTAAGTCTCAAATATAAGAGTTAGAAAAATCAGAGACAGCTAACAACATATTTCTTAAGTGAACTTTATATATATGTAAGTCTTAAGGCCCTAAGACACCTGGAAAATTAAAGTTATCTCAGAGATGTTTTAAGACAACACTTATTAAAAATAATACTTAAATACTTACATAATACATAAAGATATGCATGAAATATAAACATACAAACTGTATAAACATACATACACATACACACTTTTTAGAATAAGCATTTTAACCAAATACTTCAAAGTTTAAAGCCCATATGTATGTCACAAGGCAATGGCAGAACTCTTAAAAATCACTATTCAAATAATTTAGGGGACCATTTTAATCGTGGTGCAGACAGACAACTATAAACTGAACTTAAGTTCTATTCAAAGGATGCCTTTTTTCTGTTAACCTAACCTAAATTAGCTTCCTCCTTTGTTTCATAGTCTGTGTCTTCTCAATTTGTATTTTTCAATATTTTGCATTGTAATAATCAGTCTTACAATTTTTGACATCTCTTTTGGTCGTCTTAACTAGATTGCAAGTGTTTTGGGCATTGAGACTGTGCAGTGCAAATATGACTATTAATGAAAAGCAAACACATTTTACCTCCAGGCTCCTCAAAGTATTCCCATTCATTACCATTTTCTATCCTCAACAATACCCATGTTATGTGTATCCCTTACACACACACCAAAACATGCTTGGGATTCTGACATATTTTTCTTCCTTTTTCCACCATATGCAATGGAATTTCTCATGAATTTAGGATACTCAATTCTTTCACATCACTAATTAACTGTAGTCATTCCATGACTAAGACCAAGAAAAAGCAGCAGCATTTTCAATTTAAAAAATTGACCAGTTTCAAGGCACATAGAATCCATGTCCCAAAGATGGTTCCAGATTCGACAATCACACAAGCGAAGCCCTTACCTTTCGGTCCAATTTTTGCCAGAACAGAATGAATGTGTACCATTAGCTCCTCGTTTGGGGGAGAGTCCTTGCTGGCGTTCACAAGTAACTGTAACAGTAGCTGTGAACCACCTTTGGCCACTAAGAAACTTGCTCTTCGACCACCACCTGAAAGAGTTTTCATTTGTTTAAACAGTGAGTCCTCAAATATCACAACTTGTTAGCATTCAAGAAATACTTAAAGTGATGACTTCTGAAATCAAACAAATACCACCAAAATCAAATTTTGTTATATTTATTTCCATTAGAAAATAGTACAGAGGGTAAATACAAGTGATGCCAAATTTCTATGTTCGAGGCTCTGAAACACATGGGCTTGAGGGATACCGGAAGATACCAAAACAAAGTAACGAGTGTGACATATCAGTTTCCAAATTCCAATACTCAGAATACCCTCTATGTGAGTATCAAAAAATTCCTAATAAAATACACATGACACATTGTTGATCACTATTTACAAACATAAATGAGACCAAAGGAAACAAAAACTTACCAGCTGACACCAGCTCAACAAGAATGCTTAAGATATTAAGTGTAGTTTGAAGATCTTTCGTGTTCTGAAATAAATAGTTTATTTGCTTTATTAAACCATTGTAAATCTGTGATCCCCAAACTCTTTCTGTTCCTGTCAGGAACTACCTATCTTTTACAGATGACCTTTCCAATTTCTCTAAGAACAAATATGCTCAGGTTTCCACTGTTCTCACTTATCACTTCACTCTCTTATTCTTGCCATTTGCAAATAATCTGAGCTATTACTTTCTTAGTACCAACATTATGACAAGACAAAGTAATTTGTCATTTGAATTCATCATCTTCTACTAGATATTACAATTAAATGAATTAAAATGTAAAAGACCCTACAATGGGTTCATGGTGACTACTCAGTCACCTAGCTCCCCTCTCAGAAGATAACTGCTTTATCAGTTTCTTATGTTTCCAGCCAAAGATAATGTGCACACATAAAAGAAATCCATATAAATATGTGTATATACACATTTACCAAATATGAATATACCAAATGGTACTACCCTACAGATACTATTTTGTACATTAATATATTTTTACATATCAATAAGTAGTTTCTTCATTCTTTTTAAGGGCTACAGGATATATTCCATGATATGACTAAGCCATTGTTTATATAACCAGTCACTTACCAATGGGATTTTTTTTTTAATCTTTTGCTATTAAAAAGTTGCAACAAAAAACTATGTACATATATTTACATGGGATCAAACTCCTGGAACTTCTGGGTGAAAGAATATGAGTATTTATTTTGATGGCTATTACTAAATTGATCTTCCTGGAGCAATTTATACTCCCACCAGCAATGTAGAAGAATAACTATTTCCCAAAGTCTGGGCAACCAATCTAATAAGAGAAAATGTTTAAACATTGTACTTGGTTACATTTTTCTTATTAAAAGTGATGCTTGAATGGGGGGGGGAAAAAAACAAAGCAGAATCACTGCCTATTGAAGGAACTGCCTCACCCGCAGAGTAGAGGATTTTACAATGATTACACAGAGGAATTTCAGAATTGCTGTGTATCAGACACTTGCATGGGACTCTTATTCTTCCCCTTCCCAGAAGGAAATGAGTGTTGTCTCTGCTTCACCATTTCAGCTCACAGACTGATTGAACCAAAAAGTCCCATCCAGACCAGGTGGAGAACTGTGCGTTAACCAGAGACCCTTGGCTTAGCATTGGAGGTATTAACCGGACCACTGACTCTTTGGGAGGAATTTGGAAGAATGACAGGCACAGACATTTATTTGTTAAAGAGTGGAGTGTGGCAGCAATATTGCTCTGTGTTCAGCAAACTGATTTCATATTCCTCCTAGGTACACAGCCAAACCACATTTTCCAGCCCTTCTGTAATTACATTTTGTGCCATGTGACTGAGCTCAGGCTATTGGAACCTGAATGAAAGTTGCACTGTATTGCTAGGCTTTACCCAGGCAACACTCCCATACATCAATTGCCACCTCTCACCTCTCACCCCTGCTGACCTCAATAAATTGTGACATGAGCAAATGGGGGAAAAAAACCCAATGATGCTCAGTTTTCAAATGCAATTTGTTTCTTTCTGGGAACTGTCTGTTGATAACCTTAATACATTTCTCAATTGAGTTGATTATTTTTCTTACCAATTTGTGGAAGTTCTTCATATGTCACAGAAATTATACATGAATTTAAACAAAATTATACAAAAAAAACATGAGATTTTTTTCCTCAGATTGCCAAATGTCTATGGTGTTTTTTTCCATGCACTTTTGTTAATATAACTGAATTTATCAATCTTTTCTTCTATAATTCCTGTAGGGTTTTTTCATACTTAGAAAAGCCTTCCTTGTTGTAAGATTATTTAAAATTTTCTTTCATTACTTCCTCTAGTATTATGGTTTTATTTTCCATGTTTAAATATTTGCTTGATATGGAACTGATTTTGGTATAGGAAGTAAGCATCCAACATTATACTTTTCTGCATGGATACCAATTTGTCCCAGCTCTATCCCGCATTGATCTGAAATGCTACCTTTAATTAAGTAGTACTAAATTCCCACAAGTATATTAATTTATTTTGGACTTTCTATTCTAGTACATTGATATCTACTACTATGAGAAATTTATAAACTATGTGAATTACTGAAGTTTTATAATGTTCTCTGATATTTGGAAGGACTAGTCCTTTCTCATTTCTCTTCTTTTTCAGAAATGTCCATTCTAATCTCACTTATTATTTTCCCATTAAACTATAGAAACAAAACTGTTGGTATTTTTATTGAGATTGCTTTAAACTGACAGATCAATTTAGAATAAATAACAACTTTATGTCATTTTTCATAGGAAGTAATTCCTATAAAAAAAAAAAAAAAACATGAACTCACACTGTTCTTTTTTTCCCAGCTCTACTGAGATATAATTGGGCATAGAATATTGTGTAAATTTAAGGTGTACAATGGTATTCACTCCCTATTCTTAACATTGCACTCAATAAAATATAAAATCCTGATTCTGAATATATCTTGTTGCTCCACCCAAAACTTTTACACTGGCATAGAAATTTAATTATTATCAATACAATACAGTTATTCAACCAATATATGTAGCAAACTAAATCTCATGAATATATATCATCTAACATAATAAATGAGAATTTATAATATCAATCATTTATTTTAAGCTAAAGATTATTTCCTAAGCTAGTGCTTTAATTTCTATTACCAATTAGAATGGCCTGTTAAGATTTAAAATACAGTTATCATTATAATCATGGGGAAATATACTTAGAGATTTACCTAATATATATTAGAATGTTTATACCACCATTCCAAATGTTAATTTAAAACATAAAACAAATTTCCATTCATTGGCTTTACCTCTAGGATAAAAATTTTATACTTCATATATTTTTTTTTCTTCAGTACTGGTTGGTATTAATAGGTCCATAAAGTCTGTCAGTGATTTACCTCTAATGTTGACAGCAGAACTTCCATTCCTGTAGAACCTTTGGCTGTCATTTCTTTCCTTGTTTTTTCTGAAAAGTAGAAAAAATTGTCTTCTAAAACACGAAAGAAAAATATTACATATGGTTTTATTATACAGTTAATATAGAATCAACAAGTCTCCATTGGTGGAGTAAACATTTTAAATTGGTTCTTAGGTGTTCCTCCCTCTGATGCTGCTAATTCTATTCTCTGAGGACTTCCAGATATCGGTTTGCGAGATCTTCCTTGCAGTTCATCACAGCTTCTATCGTGGACTAGGTGAACCCTTGTTAGTCCTTCTAAAATCTTAAAATCATCTACATAGTACAGGTACCAAACTGGAAGTGAGATAGGAATGGTAACGGCAGGCCTCTTTATCATCTTTATGACTAGAACTAGAAAACACTTAATCAAATTGGTGAAAACAGAAACCTAGCACCATTTTTAAATGTTTTCATTGAATTAAAATTATTTTAGAGCTACTTCTACAAGAGTCTGGAAACCAGATCACCCAAATGATCCTTTTCATATCACTGAGATAGAAAAAAAATGTGTAAATTATTTCTATTATTTAAAGGTTTCCAGAGCTTCTCCTCAATTCTCCTTTGATTAACAAGAGAAGAAAGGGGAGCATTTGAGAACTTGCTCCCCAGCACGTCGTCAGTTTTGGCTCAAACTCATAAAAATTCTTTACAGGTTTGAACGTTTCTTATATTGGCATATAGTTGGCATAGTCAGCAGGATTCTGAAGAAGTCCACCTGTGGACCCAAACCCAGTGCTAGGTACAAGGAAGGGCCCATTGTGTCCCACTGGCTCCCCGCTTTGCATCAGGTGAACCTGAGTACGTTTTCTCTCAGAATTCTGGGCCTCCTTGCTTTAAGTAGCAGGCCAAGACTTTATTTGACCTGTTTTTAGAAAATCCTCAAGGTGGATAAGGGTTGAGATAACCCAGAAAAAAAAAAATTTTATGCTCTTAATGCCAGCTTTTATTGGATTGCTTACTGAGAGTCTAAACAAAATCTTTATTGCTTAAATGAGATACCGAACTCTCTTTAGGTCTGAAAGAGCAAGGACACTTGCTTCCCCAACCCAAATACCCAATAGGGTGATGATAGTTGTTGCAAATCCCTGAATCCAGAGTGGAAAGATAGGTGCCACCAGGCGTCAAGTGCAGTAATGCAGTCAATCCCGGAGAAGCTAGTGGGAGCCTAAGGGGGCTGGGGTAAAGGCAGGGTACCCTAAAATGGTTCACTGAGAAAGGGGGTGGGGGTTAAGCCTTAGAAAGGGTTGTGGTTCTGGTGGCATCCAGGAAGCTCTCACTGGCTCTTGCTCAGGTATTCTTAGGTGACTAAGAATCTTTGTGGGGTTGCCTAAGGAAAAATTTCCTCTAGATGTGAAACAGTCTTATAGGGATATTCAATGCCTGTGGCTCATCTGGACACATGCACATAAAGATTATAATTAAACGTATAATTAGATTTAATTCACTAATGTTTTAATTGGGATTTTTCATTTATGTTCCTAAATGCAAAGTCAATACTTTTCTTCTCTTGTACTCTCTGTCAAGGTTTTGTCACCCACTCAGTAGCACTGGTTTCCTATAACAGATGTCATTTACTGAACATTTTTAACATTCTTTTTACATGTTTCTCATGTAAATCTTATAATAATCACATCATTTTTCTTATATTTATTTCAGAGATGGTGCAGCTAAGTCCTAGAGATTCAAACTTCCCTAAGGTCACCTAGCCATTGAATGACAGAGCCTGCATTTCAGAGTGGGGGGACCATACTTATAACCAATGTTATATGCTACCTGACATTTTTTTGTCAACATTCTAAAACAAGTAGCACTGTAATTAGGTATTGTTTGAAAATTGGGGCAGGGGGGATTTCATACATAAGTAAAGTCACAATCAATTTTTAGAAATAAAGCCTTGAAGGTCAATTTCTTCCACAGTAATTCCATTTTCTACTTCTTGAGTCTATTTGAGGAAGTTAGATTTTTATAGAACAATCTACTATCAAAAGTTTGAACATTCTTAGCATCTACTTTTAAAGTTAAAAAAGCATTCCTAAAACAAGAGATTAAAGCTTACCTTGAAAGGCCGGCTGAGTAGCTCAGTTGGTTAAGAGCTTGCTCAAGAGTGCGAGCTCTGAGCAACAGTGGTTTGAGTCCCACCCGAGCTGAGCTGCCACTGAGCTGCCAACAGGTGGCAGGGTGGCTCAGCTAAAAATAATAATAATAATAATAAAGCTTACCTTGACTTTGAGCCAGATGAAGAATTTTTGCTGTAACATATCTGGCAGTATCTGATTCTGTGGATTCAGTATTGATCTTCTCCAGCTGAGCCAGGAGTCCTACAATCCGAGAATTATTGGTAAGGCTAAAAATAAAAAGAATGTTATTTTACATTAGGGTACATTCTACATCAATTGTAAATACAATACTATAAAGATCACTGTTAAATAAAAAAACTCTACCCTTCTAAAAACATGAAACATTTATACATGTCACATTCCTTTACTGCCTTTTTGCTTAACATTGCTAAAATTCTATTAAGTGAGAAACACATTTTATTAATATCTCAGAAAACCACAAATGTGCATTTAACCCCCTACAGCAATCATACATCACACCCTGAAAGTTCACGTTTCCACTTTCCAAGAGGATTTTTTACACTTTCTCTGTTCTCCTAAAAACTCTAACCATCCCTTCCACCCCACTCCATTCTCATTTAGTGCTGTACTTCATAACTGCTATAAAATCAAACAAGAACATACTCATCTTCCCACCACCAGATCCTCAAACCTATCTGATTCTCTACCCACATTCTTTCTTCCTAGTTCCCCATTCATTATATAGTTGCATATTTGGTACTTTCTAGGTGTTGCCAACAATAAAACAAAAATTTCTGACCCGCATAGAGTGAACATTCTAATGATAACAAACTAAATACATAAATAATTATACAGTATTAAGGTTGTTGGAAAGTGCTATGGAGAAAAAAGCAAGTTTGGAAGAATAAAAAGTGTGGGGGCAAAAGGGGTACAATTTTAGAGTGGTCAGGGAAAAAACCTCAACGAAAGAATACCGTTTAGGAAAAGGCCTGAAAGAAGTAATAGAGTGAGCTGTGCAGATACCTGCAAAAAG